ATTTTTCGATGACACTGAATACGCAAACGAAACGAACTCGAAAGTTTTTCGTACTAGAGGTACTGATATTGATACTTCATTCTAAAACCTTTTTTATTATTCAAGTAGGTCAGACTAGTGGTATGTTATGAATAATTCATTTTTAATTGTGTAAAAACTTTTTAACAGATCCTACTTACTATTTATTACATCGATTTTAAAAAACAGAAATGTCACAGTGACAAATGTCGCGATGATTGCTGATCGCTGCGTGCAGACGCTGCATAGATCGCCGCGACCAATGACAGGAAAGAAAGAAAGAAAGAAAGAAAGAAAGAAAAAATATTTATTTGGTACTAAATGATAGGACGCGTTGATGTGAACACATCGCTACAAATTCATACACGCTGTCTGGTCGCCATCGCCATCGTCATCGTGCACGCCAGCTGCACGCGTTGGTCTGGTCTAACCTTTAGATCGCTAATCAGCGTAAGTTTATATCTTTAATGATCATCGTATTTCTTCAACTCCGGTAGCGTAGTTAGAGATGAAAAGTGTTTTCAGTATCGATATTTTTTATTAGCCAATTTGGTTAATAACGGACTAACCGACTGGCCTGGGATGCCTTTGGAACTTTAAAATCGTGGATATTTTGGTATCGATAAAATATAAAACTTTCTGCTCTGGTAACACTTCAACCTAATAATTAAAAAGAGGTAAGTAAAGTTCTTAGGACATCATAATTTCTGAAATTGTAGAGGTGATTTTGAAAATTCTTCCATCAGTAAAAACTACATTATTTTAGAGATAGGCTTTCTGGAATAAAATTAGGACTAGCCGACTAGAGATCCGAGCAACTCTGTTTCGAACCACACCGCGTCATCGCTCGACTATTGTGGTGAATCTACTCTTAACACAAGCATAATTTAGCTTAGTAAAAGGGGTTTACGTGACTTTTAGTAATATTTGCAATACAAATTACTAATATTCTTTTTTTTTAATCAAGAGTTGTATTATTAACAGCATTAATTCAATAACTACTAGATTGATCAATCGATATACAGTTGCATCCCTAACTGCAGTATGTTATTTTGTGTAATTGTAGCAGAGACGCGAGCACACGCTAGCTCAATGGTGCCGTGTAACTGGCAAGGGCATACACAAATAATTATATCGAACCAGTCGATAATTAGACCATGCATTTCAATTATTTTATCGATGGATTGAATGAAAATTAAAACCTTTGCTGTTTTATTACACTACTTTTTTCTCTGATTGATAATAACTTAGTTGAAAGAGCCGTATAAAATGACTCTACATTTAACCTAAGTTTAACTATGTAGGTTTATTTCTTTAATAAAATATGGAGTTGATTTAATAATACGGCGTGTTCATACATAATGCTTTGTTTCATTAAATCATTGACACGTTGAACTTTCTGTTAAATATGCTTAAATTATCTCACACGTCTTATAGGTCGTCTATCTATCTATCTCTTTTTGCACCTAATGGCGCCCGATTACAATCTACAATGATTGTGAGCGATTACGGTCATTATGGTAAAGGTGCAAGGATCATAATTCAATGAGTAATTGCATTTGAATACGAGGTTAAAATATCGTAACATCGCTGTGTGAATTTAATAAATATTTAGGTACTACTTTTAAAGTCAGTAACCAGTAGCAAATCAAATTGGCATTTTATCAATGGATAGCACATTCCATTGTTAATTACACAAAATAACTATACAATGGATAAGTATCAGTAAAAGCTGTTTGCGATGTCGCACTTTTTTCGCAAAGCAAAGTATGAGAAATAGTATAGGTACAGTCAACAGCACGCCAGACTAAATTTTTGTTGCAAAATAGCAACTATTACAACGACTTAAGATGCTAAAGTGTTAAATTTGATGTGTTCGTCTGAACATTCTTCGTTAGAGCAAAAGCATACGATGCGTTGCGGCGCTGAACCGCAAAGATTTCGCCGTAAAGGTTTAGTCAAACCAACCAAGCGATCAGCCAGCGTGCAGCGATGGCGATCAATGCATTTAGGTAAGTCTGATCGCCATCGCTGCACGCCGGCTGATCGCGTGTGATGGTGATCGCGTTGGTTTGGCTGAACCTTAATGCGCGACGCGGAGCTGAAAGAAAAAAAAATTTCTTTAATTTCAATTTTCCTGCGGGCAAACGTCTTTAAGGCAGACCGTGACTTTTAAAAAATGAATTTGTGATCTATGGTAGGAAAAGTCTATGGTCATAACCTAAAAGCGTCTCGTACTTGTGAGAAAACAATATTTATAGAATTTACCTAGGAAACCTATGGTAGAAAGAAATATGTGTAAGACTGCATTAATGAAAAAGAGTTTCTTAGATATGGCACCAAAGCTGTTTAACAAGCTTCCTAAGGCCTTGCTAGAGTGTGATGACAAAATGTTTAAAAAGGAACTGATCTTACTACTATTAAATAAAATGTATTATACCATTGATGAATTTTGTAATGATTCTTTAGGTTAAGTTTTTGACATAATTTGAAATTGTATACTTTATGACATTAGCTATTATTCTGTTGTATTTAATAATTAGAAAGATTGACTGACTGCATTGACATAGATAATTTTGTAATACCAATTGATTTAGATTATATAATTATTCAAATTTATTAAGAATTCGTATGCCTATACGGCAGATCATAGTGGAACCTACTAACCCCTAACAACTTTGTACCTATGATAATGACGAATAAATTTCATTTTCATTTTCATTTTCATTTTTTCATTTTAAAATACCATTGGATATTCTAATTGTGGTTTTGGAAACGACATTTAATACCGCACGTGTGCCGATCACAGATATTTCTACGTAAGACGACGCAGCGACACCGCTCCGGCGTCGCTCCATCGCCGCAACGCATCGTGTGCTTTGGCTCTGTGATGTCACGTTGTCGTTAGATCAGCAATCGATGAGGCGCGCATTCCTGTCGCGTCTACTATGATAGATCTCACGATCGATTAGCTAGGGTTGTCGATCGATGCAGAGTTATAGTGCATTGTATTAGGTATGACTTCCTTGTAATTAATAACATGAATTAAATAGTCTTCCAGCGACTTGGCACACTTTTAGCTTGGTCCACGAGCAAGTCGGCGGATTGAGTTTTTAATTATTTTTTCTTTCGGCAACTGGGCAAAATAATATACCGTAGCAACTTCCAATAATGCTGAAGATTTAACTTCATCCAGTGTACAGCATACTCGTATTAGTTCAAGGATAAATTAATTACACTGGCATCCATTGCATTGACATAATTAAAAATATAATTATTATTTGATAAACAAATATATTTATGCGTTATAGAACATGTGTTCAAATGATTCTAAAGCTTCCCAACGTTATACAAAAAAGCTGATAAAATGTCATTTCTAGTGACACATCTCTACGTCATGTGCATACGTCGCTATCAATGGCGCATGATAAATGCGGCGTGGGCGATGCTGCTATTATATTTCACGCAATGCTAATACAACCTGAACGGACCTTACTATATTTAGCTACAGTACTTTGAATCTTAAGTCGATGGAGCAAAGGATATACACAGTTACGTGAAGCTTTTGTACCAGTTGTCGCGATTGAGCGCTTAATTGAAGTGACAAAGGACGTGGTACATGGGGCGAAGATAATTATTAAGGTTAATGCTATTTTAATATAGCCTTAAAGTATACGTCTGAAAATAAGTAGATAAGAATAATTATTAAATTAGATCAAGAAATATTTGGTAAGTATTCAGTGCAAATGCAGCATACATAGCGTTAATTCACTCTGATATTTATCATGAATTTGATAAGACATAATCATAAAGATAAGGCGCTATATCAATTGCCAAGATTCAATCTGATCTCAGTTATGCTACGTATTAGAATAAGAAGTAAATCAGAAGTTCACCCTTTTATAACTACGAACCTAACCAATTGGTAAAAGTTTCCAAAACGGTGAAATTTAAATGACAAGCCCACTTTTCCACTAGACTGTAGCGTCAATATTTGTCCCCTCGAGTCGTGTGCGTTTTAACCTAAGCTCTCAATTTTCAATACGAGTCTGTTTGGAGTGCTTATCGAGTGTCTACAGAAGAGAGCTGGCCACATACAAGAAATGAACAAATATAAAAACATTTTTGTACATTTTGAACTAGTTGTAATACCAGTGCAACTCACAAGATGTGTAAGCCGAAAGAGCCGAAAAAATACCGGTATTTTAAATACTTAGTAGTTTAAAAGTAATCAAGGTGGACCGACGATATCATAAAGGTAGCAGGAAGGCGCTGGACGCAGGCCGCTACCAACCGGTCAACATGGAAAGCGTTGGGGGAGGCCTATGTTAAGCAGTGGACGTTCTATGGCTGAAATAATGATGATGATGATGATGAAATAGTTGCCTAATGTACCTACCTACATAAAACACTTAGCAAAACAACAAAAAGCTTCTGAACATTTAAGTAAACAAAATACTTTCAGGCTGAAAACAATAATAACGCTCCTATCCATTTATGTACTTACTTGGTAAATCTCAATAAAAATGTGCATTGCATTTTATACCGTAAAACACTTTTACAAAAAAAATAAAGTCCACGATTTTAAAGCTTATAAAGCCTTTTAGCTACAAAATCGTAGCTCTCTTATGTTTTTACTGATCAACGGAAATCAGAGCTGGACATTCAAATTGTGTGAAACAAAAAATAAGTGCCTTATACGATTACAGCCTACGAGTTGCCTGACATACTCGATTTTCTTCTCAAGCTACATAGTAGCCGATTTGGAACCGTTTTTGAGCTATTAGCTGAGAAATCGCTGCGAAGAAGTTTTTATAACAGTTTCTCTGACAATTTATTTTAAAAGTAGACTTTACAATAATGTTTTACTTGATTCTATCTTTTCTACAGCTTTAATTGGTGTCTTTAATGTTTTGTTTTTAAAAATTAAACATAAACGTAAATATTTTGTATGGAAATTTTTAGAGGAAATTATCACTTACCTTACTGCTGCATCGTAGGCTCCATCGATATTTTTGTGATCTGTAACAAAATATTGTAATTTAATTTATTTATCTTGTATTATTCTTGGATTTAAAATATTTATTTAATTTTAAAATATCCAAAAACACGTCGACTATAGTGGTTATGATGTTAATTTCTGTGTGAACCACATGTACTTGAAAATATTTCTAAGTCTTGAATATTTTTCTCATCCAGTTTGAAACCCCCAAGCGCTTCGTTTGCATCAATATAGTCAATCAGGATAACTTCTCAAGCGACATTGGGTACAAAACTATCATCATAGATCAACATATATTTACAAAGGCATTCAAACATTTGATCCAAGAATGACCAGGCCTAACGGTAGCCAAGACTTGCGCCTACGCAGGTAGGCGTTCTCTCGCCCCGCCTCCCATAAATACTCCGCGCAACCAGCAATCTATTGGCGATTCAATACCACTCCATGACGTATGTTTGTAGAACAAACGGTGTCTTTGTACTCGTAGATTTGTGAGTAATTTACGTGTGTATTTTTTGGCATAGTGTAGTGAAAAGGTAGGCCTACGCAGGCCTGTAGATATCGTAGTAGTCGAGTTCTGCTCATCCCCATATTGTAAATAGTAGATGTAACAATTTACTTAAACTTTATTGTTGTTAAAGAAATAAACATTTTTCATTTTCATTGCAGAAAAAAGTAAAGAAATGCTAAGGTATTTCTGCTGTAAGCTAGCAGCATTCTCTGCCAGCCAACTTTGAGGTAATACAGAGATGAGTAAAAGGTGATCCAAATTACCAGACTCTAAGTTGCAAATCTTTTCAAGTACATACAAAAGTTCGTGAATAGAATCGCAAAGTTTATTGTAACATTGTGTTATAGACGTACAATATTAATTAACTATAAAATCGTAATAAAGCCCAGACATTATAAAAATATTATAATTTGCTACAATCTAAAAATCAACCTATAATAAAGTTTTATGGATTGCATTGAATTGAATATAGAAGACAGTCTTTTACGCACAGTAGGCTTATCTAAACCATAAAGGGTAATTTTACAATGCCTGTGTAATAATGCAATGTTTTATTAGGTACAATTAAATACGTAACCACGAAAGTAGCTACAAACGGCAGTAGACCGACCTACCACAAAATGACGCATTTCCCAATTAATATTGAGATTTATTTCTATTGCATACGGTTCAAAATCGATTGAGGTGATTGTGATACTTTGATGTGCTACGATTTTAACAGAAAATCATATTCGTAGTGCGTTGATGTCTTTTATTACGAGTGTACCATTTGAGTACGGAGCTACGAAAAGTTGACATTAAGTTCCCAAAAAGCTCTTAACATAATGTATATTTAACCCTATAAGTAAATAAATATTTTTGTTAGCGAGAAGTCGACCCCATTTTACTCAAGTAAAAAAAAACCTATAGCAGCAATTTTCACATTTTCCAAGTTTTTACAATTTTTACCAACAGTGCTTTGATCCCATTTAATGACAGTTTTTCATGCCATTTTTATACTGATTATAAAATAATTCGTTCATAACTTTTTGTAAAAATAGAGAGAAGAACCAACCGGAAAAAGAAAGGCACTAATAAGCTATAAAACAAAATCCATCGATCACCAATCCATTTACATTTCTAATTTAACAAAAAGCGGGCGAACCAAAAGCCGCTCTATTGGCAATTACTCAGAATAAATTTACTTAAGGTTACTAAACAAATAATGTATGCGCGTACATAGTTCATTCACTTAAGAGCATAATTGCGCGCGCGTCGCTTTTTTATGATTTTCTTGGGGTTTTTATTACTTGGTGGTTAGAGGTGATTTTAGTTAACAGGCAGTGATTATGTCTGGTATGACGGGTGCGATATGGTACGCTGGTTGCCGCCGAAGCGTGGTAATAACCAAGACCCGACTCGTGCGCACGTTTCCTGGTTGCAACGGAAATAAGTATTATAAATTATATCATTTAGATTAATGTGATTTGGCGAGATTTTACTTGTTATTTATTAGATTAGCTCATATGAAAGAAAGGTGCATGGGTAGATAAATCTTCATTGTGCACCACACGGTTTTAAGTGTTAAATACATAAAAGTGTTTTTAAAAACCTACTTGCAAAAATAAATGAGTTTCCTGAGTTTTTAGGTTTCATGACTTATAGTCATGAAAGTAGGTAATATTTAGGTGGTCGTAAAATAATAAGATGTGATGTATCCTTAACATGATTGATCGTTTTATTTTATGAATCGTTTTAAGCATCATTAATTTACTAAATTTTTAGTTTATTTTACAAATTGATTGTTTACGTTTATAGCTGTATAAAAGGCTCTATCATGAGAAAGTCGTTAATCTTACTACATAGTATCCTGTCAATGGACATCAAGGTACACATTTTCGTAACTAAATAGCGCAATATAACTTAAAATGTCATATTATTCAAGCTTTCTGTGAGGTCTTCAGTAGGTACAATTAAACATCAAAATGAGATTCAGATCAAACGTAATTGTGAGTTTAGCTGATGCGTGTTAAGATAAATTATAATGATACATTTAGGGTTCATTTACGTAATTCTTTTAGACACTTTTCAACGTATAAATAGACTCTTGTACACTTTGTTTGTCACTCTTTTTTCACAGTTTTTGGCCGTTTGGTGATGTGGTTCAGAACGGACTACCGAGATGCCGAGAGGTCCCGGGTTCGATTCCCGGCCGGGCAGAAATTGAAATGATGAATTTTAATTTCTGTGATGGGTCTGGGTGTTACTATGCCTATTAAGTATGTATTTACAAAAAAAAAGTATTTAAATATGTTTATATCCGTTGTCTAGTACCCATAGTACAAGCTTTGCTTAGTTTGGGACTGGAAGCGTAGTGTAAAATGTCCAAGGATAATTATTTAGTTTTTTGTCTATTAATGTAAATAAAATTAATTTACTGTGTCATTAGACCTCCTATACTTTTTCAAAGCTTATATTCTATGCTTATATTACTAAGTATGAGACCGCTTCATTATCTTCTAATTAACTATACGATCTCAACAACAAAATAGAGGGCAAAATTGCTTCACCACACGGTTACCTGTTCTTCCCACAGACGCTAGACAAGTTCAAACCGCAAGGGCGACGCATTATCTAATGGGAGTATACTCAACAGTATTATATCCTTTCAAATTAAACGTGAGAGAGTTCTTTAAAATTAAGAGACTGTACTAAAAATTTTGGGGCATCCGTTAATTACATGAGGTGATTTTTGGAAGAAGGTACGTACCGCAATCAAAAATTATGTCCTAAAAAACCTTTTTCCCATCATTTTAGCAACGGGACGTGTACCTACCTACTGCTGAACCTCCCCTAAATCTTGACTATGTATTCTGAACTACTCTATCTTGCCAAAATAACATACTTAATTGTCTCTCATGTAAGATTGGGTTTTGTACACAAATTACCAAATTCAGCCCTTAAATTCAAAGTACCTATAAGGTAACTCCTATTAAGTAATAATGCCATACAGATTTACATAAGCAATCTTCCGTCAACGTAAGATGTAACGTAAGCCCCATTTAACAAGACTATAATATCTATGGACGTTGACTGTACTCAGAGTGCAATAAGCAGTCGCAAATTAACGTGGCGTCGTTACACTTGGTTGGAACTCGCAGTTCCACGGAACTTATGGCTGCCTGGTACTTATAGTAGATTAAGTTCGCAGATTGATATAATTGATAAAACAATTATGTAACAATGTTTGCTTTTATTTATTTATTTATTGACAAAGATCTACCAACAACACAACTTTACATAAACAAGTAATGCATGCAATGATGATTTCTTTTCTTTTGATTTTTGATGGGCCACCACCAATTACCAACAATTATATTCATTTACAGCATACCCTCTGCGCTCATGCGGTGGACTGATCCACGAGTGTACAAGAAAGGCTGCAATGCGGGAGACCTGGTAACAGATTATGAAGCTTGCCACCAAACCAGGTGTGATGTGACGACCACGACCACTCTGCCAAGAGGGTAACGACAAAGAAGAGAGAGGAGAGACTCTCTTCATAAACTGGTAACATATTCAATTTCATTGACTCTTTGATGAGCCGTTTCCATTGGTAGCAATTCTGCTCTTTAATTTATGAGTTCACAAACCGATTTTTTAGCGTTTCTACTCAAGATTTTTAGCATTTTTAGTAAAGATCCAGCGTTTGTCTAGCTTGTGATTAGCCTCCCAAAAACAAGCACTGCGAATTTGCTAGCACGCTCCAGTTGTTTTAGAAGTGGGTAAAAGTTTGGAGACGTCACGAGCGTCGCCCGCGCAGCATACTAACGACTCATATTAGCTTGCCTTAATGAATACATTATGCCCAGTCGTGTGATTTCTTAATTGAACCATTTTTGTGTGGGTTTAGTACCCATTGAGTTTTGTGTAAATCTCTAGAGGAAAATAGTCAAGTCGTGCACGCACATTCTTTACCTGTTAGTTCAGTTTTAGTGCTAAATTTAGTGCAGCAGGAGGTACATAAAAGTACGTGTCATTTCATGTGTCATAGAGTAATCACGATTGGCAGTGTAAAGTTTTTTTGAGAAATAAATGTCTCAAACCGTATAAAAATTTCAAATCATTTTTGGCTTCTATTTTACTCATGTAAAGGATATCTTTTGATAGCTAAGCACCATATTTGATTAAAATTCTCAAACTATCCCGATGACATCACCATCGGTGATCATCACCTGATTGATGTGATCATCAGTTTGCAAATAGCCTACTTTGTGTACGGCCCGCATACCGTTTTACATTTTTTACCTAATCGTTAACATTTTTGCACACACCTCGATCATGACACGGGAGCCATTTAAAAACCGATTTCGGCGATGTCACATCGGTTTTGGAACTCAATTGAATAAATTATACGGTTAACAAGTAAACCATAGAAATTTGAAGTTATTTTTGAGCGATTTTTTTAATTTATTTAAAAATAAACTTTTATTTTAACATACCGGAATAAAATTAGTTTTAACCTTGAGG